CTGTAAACCGAAACGTGAATAAAAGCTGTAAAAGTGAAGGAAGAAAGAAAGAAGGAAGAGATGAAGCGCATCGCGACAGAAGCAGAAAATACCGCGAGACATGTGTTGACATTTATGCCACGATTTATCTGCTACGTTTCCACCGGTTTTATTTTGTGCAACGGACCAAACTCCGGAATATTCCCGGGGAAGACTCTCGAGAAGTCGAGAGAATATGGCGTCTGCGGTGGAAAGATGTCCTCCAGAAGTTTTAGCGGGTCTTAAAAGAATAAGTCGTTAGCTCTATATACGGCATATGAGGTTTCTTACTGACTTATTTTATCTACTGGAGCGTCCTTTCAGAGATTTCAACAATAATAATAATATCCTTAAATTAGAGTTTCTTCTACGTTTTTTTCCTTTTAAGAAGTTCGCAAGTAATCGATCCGAAGAAATCCAACTGCTCTGTAAAATTTTTTCCATTTGCTATCGAATTCTTCTAAAGGATTATTTTTCTAACTTATTTTCATAAACAATCAAACGAATGATCGCATCTGGGATGAGTTTGAGAAAGGAGAAGGTTGAAAATTGATCGTTCCGCTTCCCGGATTAATATTCAAAACGTTCTTTCGAAAAGAAAATCGATCATCTTCGTATATCCGACGAAAAACCAGCAAGTCTTCAGATTCGAATATCTGAAGAATATCACGGGATGCCGCTTTCGAGCGCGAAAAACGCGTCGAGAGACGATTCAAAAGCGAATGGATCGATGAAACAGCGTGACGGAAGAAACAGGAAGCGTTGGAAAAATGATGGAGAAAATGCGCGCAAGAAATTCGCTTAGCTCGTTTCTTCCTCCATCCATACGTATCACCGCCATTTCGCGGTAAATTCGATACTATTAAAGATATAGAGGGGAGAGGGGAGAAATTCGCTCGCGTAAAAGCGTTTCCCCGTTCCCAGATCCACGTGACCCTCCCCTTCCCCCCGTTGTCAAATATTCCAGCTCTGCGTCGTGACTATCCATACGTGAGACCGACTCGAACCTCTCACGCGGCAGGAATATTTCTGACACCGCATACATCAATATTTAAGTGCGGTTAGAGCGGCTCGATTTGCGATAAATCACATTAAATCTATCCGAAGTAATCCGAAGTAGCGGCTCGCTCGTTCGATCGTTCTTCTTCTTCTTCTTCTTCTTCTTCTTCTTCTTCTTCTTCTTCTTCCCGGGAACCCGTGAAAAGGAATCTCCTCGTGCGAGGAGAAATTCGTGCCGAAAACTCGTAATAAATATCTTTTCGATTCGATGAAACATCGTTGGAAAAAATCCTCCTCTTGCAATCGCATCTTGGACCGGTCGAAATCCGATGACGTTTGTTACGTTTGCTTGGGAAAAGAATTAGTATAGATAACCATCGCAACCATCGACGAATATCGAAAATATTTCAAGGACCTTAAAGATTGGCTTCGATTCGATTCTTAATGTCGATTCTTAATGGGAATCGATTTGAAATAACCGTAGATGGAAAGTGGTTGGCGAATTACTTGCGACTTTCAAGGATACACCTTGGACAAAATGGTATCACGGTCCCTTCGGTATTTCGGGGAAGCCCGAATAGTAGGTGAGCGCGAGGGGAAAAAAAATGAATTTTATCGGTGATCAGACGTGCATGGGCTGAATGGAACGAGCGGGCCGGTCGTTATCACTTGGGAACAGTCAACTGTATCGGCCGATAACCGACGGGGAAAGAAATCGTCGTCGCTCTTGTAAAAAAGCACGTGAAGGCCATTCCGAAAAATTCACGCGACCGTGAAGTCCAATTTTCGATCGGCCACGGCTGTTGCATGTGAACAAAAAAGAGAGAGGGGGAGAGAGAGAGAGAGAGAGAGAGAGAGAGAGAGAGAGAACTAAGAAGATTAAGTAATTATCAGTTGAATTCACCGTTCACTGATTCTCGTCGCTATCGTGTTTCACCGTGAACAAGTTTTATCAGAGTTGATATTCCAACGATGCTTTGTTTCTTTGTAGGGCAGATTTTGCTCGACACACCGTACACGAGCGTGGATTTCATTATTATTTTTATCTCTCCCGTTTTTTTTTTTTTTCTTTTCTTTTTTTCCATAACGATTTTCTAGAAGAACGTGGCGTGGAATATGATTACGGCATTAAGCTTAAAGAAAATCCACTTTTTCGTATCATAAATCGAAATTCTCGTATCAAAGGGTGGGACGCGAATATAGAAAATCAAACATAACGGAAGTATGCAATAATCACATCCAATATCATTTTTCACGTCTGTTTCCGGATTCTGGGTGCTAAGTAAACTCGTACTATTTGGCAAGCGACTACGTTCGCTAAATTGGAAAGATTAATAACAGTAAATTCTTCGATATTCGCGAATTCTGATCGTAAATTGTGAATTTTCCACGGTTTGAGTTTTCGGCGGAACCACGCCCAATTAAAAATACGTGAAATTATACGTAAATACGTATGCGTCTGCGACGGATGCTTTGCAAAATTGATTTGATCGAAAGAAAAATCAGGGGAAAATATATCGCAGATAGAAATTAAAAAAAAAAAAAAAAAAAA